AAGGAAGGGGCAGTGTTACGACAGCAGAAGTCACATGACACTGGGGGTGTGTGCGAGCAGTTTCTCGAATGAACGTGAATCTCCTAGTTTGTTCAGGATGCCCTCTTTTTTTAGTATATAAGCCTGACAAATAAAAGAAGAGATAGAGATGCAGATAGATTGAAGATAGAGATAACTGAGTCAAGCGAAGTAAAGTGTGTGATTTATAGTGTGTGTTATAAAAGTTGTTAAGTGTTTTACAAAGTTGTATCGAGAAAGAATAAACTAGTTTTAATTAAGAAAGGACTTGTATCGCTGAAGTTCCTCGGAAAGACTTTATACCGGAAGTTATCAAACAAGCAGATACGTAACATTATTTAATAAGATTTTGAAAATAACTCTCTAAAACATCATGACATGCTCTATTTAGCCTGCCTGCAGTGAAAAGGTTATATCAGATTCCTTTTGAAATGCAAGAAGTACATGTATTTGTTATTTATGTTTTCAACACACAGAAATACTTTGTTGAACTGTCCAATTAAAACTTACTTTAGAAAAATAAAAATTCAAGACTGGACTTGCAGTACTTCAACATGATTTGTTAGTTGTTCAAAATATGTGTCATAATCAGGAACTAGAATCCCATTGAATCTTGATCTTCAATTCTGTAAAATATTTGCAATAATAACTTAGAATGACTTGGTAATTTTTGTATTGTATAAGTAGCTTAAACACAATCAGTATATCCCACCAAAAATGGCAGTTCACTCTGCCTGATGTATAAAACCCATTTGAAGTAACTTGAACAAAATAAGTGAACACTAAAACTTGTTTATTTCAGTAATTTAGTTGAGAGTAGGTGCCTAAAATAGTATATAGGTCATGGATTCAGCTTCTGTTCTTCTTAGTTGAGAAAATTTCTAATAATTATATTGAACAGTATGCCATTTCTAACATTTTGTATCTAGTGGAATGCTTTAGCACGACATTTACTGTAAATAACATTTAGTTTGTACAAAGAATTTCAACTTTGTTCTATAAGCTACTTAATTAACATTTGTTCTTAAATATTTAATATTTTTGTGTTTGAAATTAATATATTTTTGGTGAAAGAATAAAGCTTGCCAATTCTGGCTGTATAACTTTATACAGGCTCAGTTGAATTGGCCAAGTTTGTAACCCTCAAATTGACCTTTATAGTTTCCATACTATAACTTCTAATATGTTTTGTGTACCATCACAAAATTTTGGAAACTTTCAGTAATCATTAAAAACTATTTGTTGACAAAAAATTTGAAATGTTAGTGAAGAATTTTTGGTAAAAATTTCTCTATGAATATATGGAGTCAAAGTGTTGACTGCTTTAAGATTAAAAAATACTATTCTCCACCTGAAAAGTTTCAAGAATTTGTGTAATCTCTAAAACCCCCTAAATGAATATCAAACGTAAGTTTTTTCAGTAAAACTATATTTTATCTGTTATTTTCTCTACCCTAACCTCATAACCACCAAAAAATTGAAATAAATCTAAATTTCCCTTTTTTTCTTTCTAGAATGACTTCATATTGTCAGGTGAAACTACATTTGTTTATCCTAAATAGCTTTAAACTCGGAAGTGTACATCTGTTTCTACTTAAATTTTATTTTTTCATTGCTTTGAACCATGTATAACTAATATTTGCACCATAAAATTAGTAAATTACTTGGCAAATGTGTAGCTTACATTACCCTATCAAATTACATAAAGCACAGGCTACTAAGGAGTTGCTCGCAAGTGTACCTCGTGAAAAAGTTTTATTATTATTATTCATCTTTATTTTGCCTAATATAACCTACGGAGTTTCTAATTTTTACATTTTAGTCACTTTCATAATAATAAATAAAGAATACACAAGAAAAACAATAAATATAGTACTTACCTGGGTCTCTCTAATTTTTACTATCGACTGTCTATGAAACTTAACCCTACTTTTTTATACTAATGGTACTACTGCACTAAATAATTTTTTTTAACTGAATAAAGCACCAAAGAACACAGAATAACAACATGCAAAAAAGCAGACCATTGTCTTATAACCATCACAATTATTCTTGCTTTCTAACAATGCAACAACAGCTGTTAGAAATTCAGCTAAGCTCATCATTGTATTTCCCATGGGAATAAAGTGTGAACTGGAAACAACATAATATAATATGTCATTTGATAGATTAAAACCTTGGCTTTCTGTTGGTTATAGATAATGTAGTATTGAATGTCAGAGAGAACTATTGGCAATTTCTGAAAGAGAGGATGTGACAAGTGGGTTTGGCAAGAGGGGGTCTGACTTTCTATTTTGAAGGCTATAGAAAGTAAGCTTTGTCTGAGCGATGACAACATTATGAGTAATTAAAAGTTTGTACTTCTGTAGATTAAACCAATGGTTGCCACATGTTACTCACCTCTAATCTGGAATCTATGTTTAGTGGGGGTTTTATTGTGTTATTGTAAAAGGATTCTTTAATTTTTCTTATCTTCCAAAATTTATTTGTCAATGATTCTCATTTTTTCCCAGTTTATTTTTGATTCCAGTTGAAATGGTGTGTTCTGCAATGGCAGAATTTTGTGTTTTCATGAGTCTTTATGTTATGTTATTCTTGTTGTGGGGATAGAGAATAAAAAAAGAGTGGTATTGAAGCCAAACAGTAGTTGTATATATTGTTATATTTCAAATTTATTTTTATGTTCAGAAATACAGTAATTGGTATACCTACCCATATGCACATGCATTATGGCCAGATTTAGCAAATTTTTTACATTATAATATTTCGTGTGTTAGCAGTGCACCTTAAAGTTTACCTCCTGGCAGCACTCTATTTAGTGAAATAAAAACCTTACCCTTCTATAGTGTACTTCATTTTTTTTTAAGAATTTTAATGCCAAACTTATTAAATCTGTTTGAGGTTATGTACTAGTTTAACCAAAGTAATACTTTCTGCAGTAGGATTTAGTCAAGAGGATCATCTACAGTCTCACAAAAAATGTCATTGTATTCATCATTACTTTAAGAATTTTTTTCTTTAGTGTGTTAAATGTAACAAAAATACTTCTGGGTTCTGGTTGCATTTTTTTTGTTTCTATATAATGATGGGAAGCCAACAACAGAACCTCAGATTCACCATTCAGCATGCTAAACCAAACATGAGGAAGCCTTGCGAGGTTTCACATGACACTGTCGTCTCTCAGTAGATGACCATTCACTGTTTGATGGTACCTTACCACTAAAAAAAAATAACTTTTTTGTTTATCGTTAACTCTTCACATTTGTTTGTCATTCCAAGCACTTGCCAAAATAAATTATTTGTTCTCATATGGTAACTTACTTCGACTCACATTTTGTTACAGTGGAGCACGGGAGTCCTTAACACTTTCCAGTTCCAAGCCACTGTGATTTTGAACCATGGCGTTATCCTCCTGTATGTGATAGTGATATACGATACAAAAATAATGAATCTATTCAGATGAGAGTAGAGCAGTGGTATTCTGCTGGTGTATATGACAAGATGTCTACCAGTCTGATGCTCCATCTCTGAATGGGTTTATCCGAGGGGATGTTGTCACTTAGAAGTGCGCAGTCAAAATTGCAGTTCACCCCTTTAATTGGGATTCATCATCCTACCCCCACATGGATGTTGGTTTCCAGTGGCTGAGTTTTGGATTCAGAGCATGACCAATCAATATAAGTCCTCACTTATGTATTACTGGTATCTCTATTCCCTCACTCAGTTAGCCTCATGTTCATTGCTAATGTGTTGTGGGTTGCTATGGTTCTGCTGGTATGGTCATTATTCTTCCCCACATGGATGTTGATTCCCAGTGGCTAGGTTTTGGATACAGTTAACTTGCTGTATATGGTCTGTTGGCTCCTTGCCACTCAACACCTTGGGACACATCATTTTACTCTCACCCACATTACTGTCTCCCAAGGGATTGAGATTCCAATATCATGTGGTTCGAATCCCTATCCAAACATTCTTCTCTCCCTTTTGGATGTACTCCTCTTTTTCTGTACATGTTTGCAACACCTCTTTCAGCACTGGACATAGAGTACACCTAGTATAGATGTAGTGTGGTTTCCCATGTAGGGTCCTCTAGTGTGAGGATCTCCACTTTAAAAGGGTGCTTCTTTTCTTTTCCTCACACCAGTCCCTCTACCTATTTAATGTTGGGTCCTGGCTGTATCTGTGAGGGGAGGTAGTTACCATATCAGAAGTTATAATTTTCTTATACTGAAAATGTATTTCTGATTGTTACTTACCTCTTCTCACGATTTGATAAAACAAACTTCATAGTCATGTGTACCCACTTTGTGGGAAGAGGGTTATTGTCATTATAATTCATGTTATATAATATTATAACATTCTCAATCAAAGGTGCCTCTACTGGATGTTTTCTGCTCAGATGAACTGCACTTGCTATACTCAATAAAATACAAGGGGCTTCTCCTGGATGTTTTGCCCAGGCTAACTGCAATTGTTGCTCATAAAAAATCTTTTTATGCAAGTTGCTTCCACTGGATGTTTTCTGTCTGGATGGACTGCACTTGTTGATTTCTAAATGTATTACGCTCAAGATAAAAAATGATAACACAAACTTCATAGTCATGTGTACCCACTCTGTGAGAAGAGGGTTATTGTCATTATAATTCATGTTATATAATATTATAGCATGCTCAATCAAAGGTGCCTCTACTGGATGTTTTCTGCCCAGATGAACTGCACTTGCTATACTCAATAAAATACAAGGGGCTTTTCCTGAATATTTTTGCCCAAGCTGACTGCAATTGTTGCTCATAAAAAAAAAAAAATTATGCAAGGTGCTTCCACTGGATGTTTTCTGCCTGGATGGACTGCACTTGACATGTTCAATAATATCACAAGGCACTTCCCCCAGATGTTTTTTGCCTGGGTGGAATGCACTTGTTGATCTCTAAATGTATTACGTTCAAGATAGGAAAAAAAAAAAGATCAATCTTATGCAAGGTGCTTCCACTGGATGTTTTCTGCCCAGAAGGACCACACTTGACATAATCTAACATATACCAAGGTGCTTACCCTGGATGTTTTGCCGAGGCTGACCACACCTGGCTATCTTAATATAAATTCACAGTGCTTCTCTTGGATATTTTTTGCCTGGGCAGAATGCACTTGTTGATTTTACAATTGTATGCAAGGCACTTCCACTGTTGTTTTTGACCAGATGGATCACACATGGCATAATCTGATGTATCCCAATGTCTTTTCCCTGGATGTTTTTTGCTCTGGCAGACTGCACTTGGCCTATTTGTATACATTTACTGTCCTTTAGCTCTAGCCACATATTCTTATATCTGATTCCAGGTGCCTTCTTCAAATCTGACTGTGATTTTGTTATGTGCTCACCATTGTTACATATGTGGACTTCTTACGTATTACCTTTTGTCCACCAGTGGAATCTGTATTACATGACATGGTGCCTGTGTGTCTTTGTTCATTACTGTTTCAAAAGTAGTGCTATACCCCACAGGTGTGCCTCCTTTTATAATTGTGACACACATGTTCTTTCACAGTGGTTGTTCTTCGCTTGTTTGATTACTTTTGTGCCTTCACTGGCTCCTCCACTTTTGCAATGTGGGATTCTAGCTTTGGG